CCCCCCCCCCCCTCCCCTCGTGAAATGTCTGTGTGAAAGTTCTTATAGAGTCACCGAGAGTGTTCTCTTGGAAGTTGCACATTATTGGAATTATTTATAAAATTAACATGACTCTTCTTTAATTCCTTTGTTTATAAAATTAACATGACATTATACAAACTTGAGGTCGCCTTCTTTTCAAGGAGTAGGTTTCTCTGTAAGTAGATTGTAGCTGGTTGCGATAATGATTCCTCTTTATTTATTTATATTTCGTACATTACGATATATACAAACAATATACTTTTACAAAATGCATCGGGCAATTTGATTTATTTTTATAACGTGAGGAAGAGCAAATATATTATTACGTACTTTCACATCTCAAAATGTTTGAGAATGGAATAGAAGAACTATTTAAAGAAAACTGTGAATTAATGCAAGACGAAAAATATTTTAATTCCGGTTAATATCGGTCCACCTATAGACTAAGAGTTCTGGTACATTCATTTCCTTTGATTCGAATTTTAAACCCATTTCTCATCACTACGATGACCATTGGCTCCTATATGAACAAATGTGAACATATATTGTGCGTCACAGATTCCGAGAATTTGCCCGACACTATGACTATTTTTATAGTTATAATAAGATGATTCGGCGTTAGGTGGGCACTGTGGAAAAGGAATAATCAGTTAGGCATCAAACTCTATATGTAATTAATCATTAATATTACCTCAATAATAACATGTTTGCCATCAATTGCTCCTATACAATGATTGAAATCCAACCATCTCTCTCTTCAAATTCTTTAGCAATCTCCAGCCATTCTTCTATAGTTTTTGATAGTGGGATCACATTCTGATGGATAGAGTTCCATAGTTACACTTCATTGCACAAGATTGGATTTAAAATCGAAATGTAGACGAAATTTAAACTTGACTTAAAATAGAGAAGAGTACAGTTCTAAGTTAAAATAGACTTGTAATGTTAAACGTGCAAAGCTCGCGGAGTTAGAAATAGAGCTAAGATTTAGAATTTAGAACGACCGAACGCGGTTAAAGGCATACACGTGATAGTTTGTTCGATAATGTAATTTCATTCGCGACACACTGAATACACTGGAAACGTATTTGAAAAAAATTCGACCTTCGCATATATTTTTATCGGGCTTAGCATAGAAAGATTCAAGATTACTGCAACATCGCTACGTGCTAAGAGCTATGTGCTTTTTGCATTGTGGCGTGTCCTTGGTCTGTTCCGCGCTTCTTAATCTGCATAATTTGCATAATCTGCATATTTGACGTAATAGTACATCTATCGGGTGTGATTTAAATTTCACGATCTACAAGCAATCATTATAATTATAAAAGTCGAGAAATACAATATTTTCTAGCTTTTTAAATGTTTGCGGCATGTTATGTATTTTCTGTTAATGGAAGACATTTATATTATGATATATACAGGAAAAATACAGTTATGTAATATGGGATATACTATACTGTGTCATCGGCGAATAACACCCTAATGCTCGTAAAAATCGCTAAAAGCATTTTTAAACGTGCCAGGGATTAAGCAATATTACGTTTCGTTTCACGAGCCGCAGGGCACATATTATACATATCTTCTGTTTTCACAGAATAGAATGACTATTTTATATTTTTAGCAAAAATATTAAGTACTATTCGTTAAGTTTGTTTTATTTAATATAAAATTTTTAATATAAAAATATGATAACATATGTAACTTTTCTTTGTGTACATTGATTTTCTAAAGTTGTTTTGGAAAGGGAACTTTATTTACGACAATTTAGTTCAGTTACGTATATAAAATCTATTTAAAAGATAATAAAATTGATAGTAATTACGGCTTTCTAATGTAACATATTTATCAATTAATAAATCAATTTAATCTCTTTATTATCTATTCACATTATTAGACAGCAAAATAAGTATATGTGTATATAT